CTCAGCCTCCCAAGTAGCTGGGACCACAGGCACCCACCATAATGCCTGGCTATTTTGGTTGCAGCCATCATTGTTGTTTGGTGGGCCCGGGCTGGATTCAAACCCACCACCTTAGGTGTATGTGGCTGGTGCCTTAGCCACTTGAGCCACAGGCGCTGAGCCATCTTTGTCTTTTTGTAACTGGTTTATTTCACCTAGTAGAGTGGTTTCAAGGTTCATCCCTGATAGAATGTGTCACAGGCTTTCATCCCTTTTTAAGGCTGGAACCCCTCTTTTCATCGATGAGATAGTTGCTCAAAGTCCCTCAGCTGCTTTGGTCTCCTGATTTGATTCCAGAGGTGTTGATGGAAAGATTGATGATGTTGAGCTCAACCTCCGCTTCAGACCCACTATCCCATCCCTTAGCTTCTTTGACCTGTACAAAGCACAGAGTTTTGTGGGACCAGAGTGGATTTACGTCCCCTACTCTTTTTCTGCAGATACTACGGAGGGACTGAGTTTATCGATGAGCTAGAAACACTCTGTCAGAAGCGTGCACTGCAGGCCTATAATCTGGACCCACAGAGCTGGGGAGTCAACGTCCAGCCCTACTCAGGTGATTGGCATGTCCAGATAGGCCAGTGCAGCACCTTTGTGTCTGGTTCCCAGGGCTGGTGTGCGTTAAGAGGGGTGCTAAGAAGAACGACCCATAAATAGAAGTCCAGATAAGCAAAACCCTCCTAGGCACATGGGTCTTTCCCCACTGCCCTGGGGCTGCCCCTCCGTGCTCTCCTGGGCAGTGCCCTATCTCTGAACTTCCTTCTACTTACTCTTGAGGGGCCTAATGCAAGGATATCTCCTAAGGCTCAGGGAAGGCACAAGGCGGGGCCAGGTCTGTTCTCTCCGCTCCTGGGTGCTGCTTGGCGCCTGGGATAGAAATCATTGCGTTTCTCTTGGTCTACCTGTTTCAGGCTCCCCTGCTAACTTTGCAGTGTACACTGCCTTGGTGGAACCCCATGGGCGCATCATGGGCCTGGACCTGCCTGATGGGGGCCATCTGACCCACGGTTTCATGACAGACAAGAAGAAAATCTCTGCCACGTCCATCTTCTTTGAATCTATGCCTTATAAGGTGAGAGTGTGTATCTCTCTATAGCTGTCATTTCCTTAGAAAACTTCCAATGTGGCCGGACACAGTGGCTCAGGTCTATAATCCCAGCACTCTGGGAGGCCAAGGCCGTAGCTTGCTTGAGCTCAGGAGTTCAAGACCAGCCTGAGCAAGAGCAAGACCCATCTCTACTAAAATTAGAAAAATGAGCTGGGCATTGTGGGGGCACCTGTAATCCCAGCTACTCAGGAGGCTGAGTCAAGATCACTTGAGCACAGGAGTTGGAGATTGCTGTGAGCTATGACCCCATGGCACTCTACCTAGGTTAACAGAATGAGACTCTGTCTCAAACAAACAAAAAAGAAAAACTCCAATGTTTGGCTGTGCCTATAGGAGTAAGTACCATGGTTTTGTTCATGTGGTACTGCAAAAAGGCCCCACTTCTGCTCTAGGAACTCCTCAAGCTTTCAGGGACCCCTGGAGGCAGCTGGGATGGAGATGCGTTCCTGAGCTGAGCTGCCAGGAGAGGAGGCAGCTACTGGAGAGGGCTCAGACACGGCAGAGGTGGGGGCAGCGTCCACTGGGGACCGCCAACTCCCATAGCAGGTCAGCTATGGCAGGGCCCCCCACAATAGCCACCACCTCAGCTCCGCCCTCACCTGGTGACATCCCTGTGGGGAGCAGCTGCAAGGACTCAGAAGTGACAGGAATGACAGCATCTGTGCCCCCAGCACTGATACCTGCAGCCCCATCACCAACAGCCACAGGCCTCCACAGAGCTAGAGCCAGTGCCTGGCTGTGCTTGGTGGCTATGGTGGGTGTCCCTGGTCCCCGACTTACTGTGGTTTGACTCACTGTTTTTTTGTTTTTTGTTGAGACAGAGTCTCACTATCTCGCCCTTGGTAGAGTGCCGTGGTGTCACAGCTCACAGCAACCTCAAACTTGGGCTTAAGTGATTCTCTTGCCTCAGCCCCCCAAGTAGCTGGGACTACAGGCGCCCACCACTGTGCCCAGCTATTTTTTGTTGCAGTTGTCATTGTTGTTTAGTTGGCCTGGGCCAGGTTCGAACCCACCACCCTCAGTGTATGTGGCTGGCGCCGTAACCACTATGCTCCGGGTGCTGAGCCTGACTCACTGTTTTTCCAGTTTTATGATGATGCAAATATGATGCCACCCCATAGAGACCGCTCCTGGAGCTGCATACAACTATTCTTTTTTTCACTTCCAGTAGAGTATTTGATAAATTACATGAGATACCAAATACTTTCTTATAACATGGGGTTTGTGTTAGATTTGCCCAACTGTAGGCTAGGGTAAGTATTTTTGAGCACGTTTAAGACAGGCCAGGCTACGCTGTCATGCCCATTAGGTTAGGTATATGAAATACATTTTTGACTTAACAATATTCTTGACTTGTGACATTTTTAACTTACAGTATTTTCAGCTTGCAGTGGGTTTCTTAGGAAGTTGTAAGTCAAGAAGCATCTATACACTCCACCATCACCCCACTGCACAGACCTGTCTTCAGCCAGCTGTATGTAGCCTGTGTGCCCAGCAAGGGATCAGCACTATCACACCCAGTGCCTAGGGCTGCCAGCAGGGTGTGTAGGGCCCTGGGGAAATGTTTTTTTTATGAGGTACCCTATCTATGTAAACCATTAGGTAAAAGGAATACATATAAGGGCCAGGTACAGTGACTCACACCTGTAATCCTAGCACTTTGGGAGGCTGAGGTGGGTGGATCCCTTGAACTCAGGAGTTTGAGACCAGCCTGAGCAAGAATGAGACCCCATCTCTACTAAAAAGAAAAACACTATCTGATGTGCTCCCACTATTGGGCACAATGTAGGGGTACACGGCACACCTCCTGGGCGAAGGGCTCAATCACAACTTGGATTCTACCTAACAGTGCAAACAATGTAATCTAATTGTTTGTACCCTTATATCAATCTGAAATTTAAAAAAAGAAATAGAAAAATTAGCCCAGTTTTGTGGTACACACCTGTAGTCCCAGTTACTTGGAAGGCTGAGGCAGGAGGATTGCTTAAGCCTAGGAGTTTGAGGTTGCTGTGGGCTATGATGATGCCATGGTACTCTACCCAGGGTGACAAAGTGAGATTCTGTCTCCGAAAAAGGAAAATTAAATTTTTAAAAAATACATGTGCAATGCATGGGCTCACATGAGGCACAGTGATTTACCTGCACAGGTGAAGGATGATGGGGTGGGAAGAGGTAACTTGGGTATCATTTTATTGTTCAGTGTTGTGATTCTTCCTAATGTCCAGGAACCACCTTTTCATGTTCTTTATTGTCAAATGTGCCATCCCTGGTTAGCTCATGTTTGTTGTCATACTAAAAAGGCAGCTATGCATCTTTATGTTTAGCTAAATACCGGACACATTTTATTCTTCTAAGAATATCCAGGCTCGGCTCGGCGCCTGTGGCTCAAGCGGCTAAGGTGCCAGCCACATACACCTAAGGTGGCGGGTTCGAATCCCCAGCCTGGGCAACAACAATGATGGCTGCAACCAAAAAATGGCTGGGTGTTGTGGCGGGCACCTGTGGTCCCAGCTACTTGGGAGGCTGAGGCAGGAGACTCGCTTGAACCCAGGAGTTGGAGGTTGCTGTGAGCT